GAAATATAATATGATTTTTACACTTTGTTGGGCTAGTTTAGGTTAATCATGGATCAAAGCTTTTAATTTATTTCATTCTAGGCCCAATATGGCCCAAAATATTGAAATAAATAAATGTGGGTCCAATTAGAGCCCATTTAAGGGTTCTAAGCCCATGATAGTCAAATTGGAAGTTTATTGGTCCATTTGGGTCCAATAAGGAAGTCCTAGTCCAAAATGGACTTAAACAAGGACTTCTAGGGTTTCCAATTGCTTGATGTAGTGAATTGGGGTTTAGTTTTCCATTGAGTAAGCATCATACATGCTCTTGAGTTTTTGAATTCAACATTTACTTGAGTATAGTGATTACAAGACACAAAATTTCTAGTTGTGACACCTATCGACCGAATGGTGTGCCACCGGAGATGTTTCCCCCCTGACGAGTGCCGACGAACCCGAAGCATGCCAAAGACCGATCGAATGCCTCATAGCCATGGTCGGAGTCGCGAGCCAACTGCCAAGCAACCGTTGTAACTGTTCTAAATCGCTGCTATTGTTCTTCTTCTTCTATTCATCTTGTCGCCGGTCGCCTTGTCGGTGGAGGGACTCATGGCGTTTCGTGTTATCACCGGTGAGTGATGGTTTAGTTCAAGGTTCGTGTGCGACATGGGTGCGCTGTAGGGGGGAAGTCCGGTCGAGTCGGGTCATGGAGAACCACCATGGAAACCGGCCATGGTGGCTGTCATCGCAATATGTCGCCGGTTTTCTGTGTTGTTGCCATCGCCACCCACCACAGGTGGGTGTTGGGTTTATGTGTCCGAGAAAGGATGTGGGGGCGTGATTCTGCTTCAAGATCCGTGTGGTTTGCATGTCTACTTGACTGAGAAACAAAAGAGATCACCATTGAGAAACAAAAGAGATCACCACCACCACCGTGAGGTGGTGGCTGCCGTCCCAAAAGCTATTGTCGTCGCCACTGTGAGCCACCAGGTGGGTGGCTGGGGTGCATCTCGCAATCTAAAGCATGTATGTGTGTTGTGTATGGTGTTTGTTTAGCCGGAAAATCGAGTATAACCACCATGTGCCGCCGCCGGCCGCCATTAGGTTGTTGTCTATATGTTTTGTAATTAGATTAGAAGTGCGTGTGTTAGTCGGTTGGGTATTGTAATTGTAACAAATCTGAATAGTGAAGAAAATCCATCACCACCACCGATAGGTGGTGGCTGCCGCCATCGGCCGCCGTGTCGGGTGGCGGTGTGCTTGTCTTGTGAGTCGACTCGATTGGGGATGCTTGAAACCCTAATGGGCTCAAAGGAGCTCTAATGGATCCAATAAAACCCTAATGAGCTTATTAAGATTTTAGTGGGCTTAATAGGCCCAATAAAGCCATAATTGACATAAAGGCCAACAAATTGATAAGTGGGCTAATATTTGGATTGGAAAACCCTAATGCCAATGAAAACCTAACTTTAAGAATTAATCGGGTCACACACGAGAATTATTTAATAACTTGAGATATTAAATAATAGTCATTGGCGGGAATTAATCTAAGCAATATTGGACTTAATGAATTAAGTCCTTAATGGATTAAGTGCTTAATGGGTTAAGTAGGAAACTTAACCCTAATCATCATTTTATGTGAAACCCTAATTTCACTTGGATTTATTATTGGACCTTTCATTTGGGCCTTGATGATTAGATTATTAATGGGCCATCCAAGAATAATTATATGGACTAAAATAATTAATGGGCCTAGGGTAAGTCCCATGTAAGGGGTTGGGCCCAATTTGGAAAATTGGGCCATAGATGGACCATAGTTGGGCCTTAATGATTATATGATGTTGGGCCTTAGAATGAGACCATGTATAGGCCTAGGCCCAATTTGGAAAATTGGGCCATGTGTTGGGCTTCGATTCATAGTCGACTTTGGGCCTATGGATTGGGCCTTGGGCTTGAATAAGCCAAGCTAGGGGTAATGTAGTAATTACCCAAAGAATGTACTTATGGTTATGTGTTGGGACCCAATTATTAATTGGGTATTATTTTGGTGTTGACAGTTCGCGAATCTGTCAACCAATAGCTGGGGCTCAGCCTGTGGGACTTCAGCAGTGTGAGGTGAGTTACCTTCTAGTAGCAGTGGGTCTAAGGCCACAATGCCGACCCACTAGTAGGAATTGTATGATTAGATGATTATCTCTGTGATATTCATCTAGGGTTGCTACTACATGTGTTATGTTTATGTGTTTGTTTGATATGATGCTATGTGCTAGTGATAGTAGGGGAGATAGTCCCTAGGTTACCGGTCGACAGGGCCGAAGGGGCAATCATGCCCAACCATGTTAAATAGATTATGTGATACGTGTTATGTGGTAGTGGTAAGGGGTGAAATAGTCCCCAACATCCGGTCGAGAGGACCGAAGGGGAGACCAGCACCCAGATATGCTAGTCAGTATCCGGTCGAGAGGACCGAAGGGGAGACCAGCACCCAGATATGCTAGTCGGTATCCGATCGAGAGGACCGAAGGGGAGACTAGCACCCAGATATGCTAGTCAGTATCCGGTCGTGAGGACCGAAGGGGTAGGTCGGGCACCCAGATATGCCTGATAATATATGTATGTTATGTGATTATATGGTATGTAGTATGATGGGGGAACTCACTAAGCTTCGTGCTTACGGTTTTTAGTTTTGGTTTCAGGTACTTTGTGTTTAAAGGAAAGGAGTCGGCTTGATCGCAGCGCATCACACTATGGTTTTCCGCACATGCGATCTTTGGGTTACACTCTGATATTGTTTCACGATAACATGTTTGATTATTTTTACTTTGGTTTTGACATGACATGATATTACAAATGTTTTATTACACTGTTGGTTTTATAATGATGTGTTTAAAAATGAAATTTTTGGCCTGTATTTTTGGGACGTTACAGTGACTCTTTCATGAAAGACTATGGTTGGATTACAACACTTGTATGAAAGACCGTGGTTAGATCAAAACACTTGTATGAAAGACTGTAGTTGGATGACAATACTTATATGAAAGACTGTGGTTAGATCACAACACTTGTTTGTCTTTGTGACTTACATGGAAGACCACGGTTAGATCATGGCATAAAGGTTATGGTTGGGCTGTAATATGGAAGTGACTGTAAGACTATGGTTGGATCATATTGTTCATGTAGGATTGGGCTCACTGATATGTATAATATGTGGTATTTTGGGAAACTCACTAAGATTTGTGCTCACAGTTTTGTGGTTTAAACATATTCAGGTACTTCCAGTTCCAAAGGGAAGAGCTCGGTTTGACAGCACAATATCCTCTGATGATTTTCCGCATTGATGATTGTTATTTTACTTTGATGATTGCGATACATTTGATTATGACTAGTTTTGGAACAAATATTGTGTAAACTTGATAATTTAAAAATAAAAAAATTTATCGGTATTTTTGGGATGTTACACATAAACTATCTCTTTATTTATATACTTTTTCATCTTTAAGATATGGAAACCTAAACCAAAAAACTCATTTGCCAACAATATACACCACCGACCATCATATCCCACCGTTTCCTATCCATATTCTCGTCATCATGTGTATATCATCGATTCAAACAAAGAACAAATTAGGATTTGAGTTCCATACCCTTATTCCAGGGTCCGTCCAAGTGAATTTAGGGCCCAAGGTGAAAGAAACAATGAGGCTCCTTTAAAAAAAATGAAAAATTATAGTCACATAACTACGATTAAAAGTTCATTTATAGATACAATATACAATACCTTTTGCATTATGATATCTACAAATGAGACATTCTATATGCCTTTATATATCCACAATAAGCCTTTTGATCACACCGCACAAAGCTACTGGTGTAATCTAAACCTATACGTACTCTAATGATATTACATGTAAAAAGAAACCACATTGTAAGATTTGTATTTAATATTAAATCTTAGTACATAAAGGATAGTTCAATGAATATGTTTTGTTTCCAGATTTCTATCAACATAGTAGAGATAGTCCTAAGGGATCTAAAACTGACAATTTTAAAGAAAACACAAGTAATGATTTCCACATTCGTATCAACATGATACAAATACTCATAAAGAAAACAAGTAATCAAATAACATACAGTGAAGACCAAAAGCAATAAAAAAAACATAATAAAACTTCCAAATACATTTATACACAAAAACTTAAATTCTGGAAGTAAAGAACTAGGATCACACCATAGTCACATAACTTTTTTTTTTTTTTGAATAATCATCAAAGAACAAAAACAAAAACTTACAAAGTAATTGTTGGTGTTGAATATTTAAATTTTATTATTGATCCAGAAATAAAGTGAAAATAAAAATTCAAAATCAATTTAATGCTTGCAAGAGTATAGAGATGAAAAATTTCAAAGTTACTTGATAATTGAAAAACTAGAAACAAAGATGAAAGAATGAGATACCATAGGAGCAAGAGCCAAAAGAGGCGGTTACACTAGCCCGATTCGGAAATCAGAATAAAATATCTTGATTACAATATTTAGAAATTTGAATAAGATGTTGGATTAGCAAGACTTTACGCTTACACGTATTAAGTTATGCAGAAACATAACATTTAGAAATCAAACATTGACAAAGAACTTTAAAAAATCAAAACACGAAATCAACGCTAAAAAATCCTTTAATCTGATTATTCAGATATCGGCTAGGGCTAGGGCTGGGTTGAAAATCAAGCTTCAAAAATTGTTTAATTTGATTATCAAAAATAAACTTTATCGTCACATTGATGATTAGAAATAGAACTTTACAGAATTAGATTTAAAAAATTGGACTTTCACGATTATAAAGGCGATTTAATTGCTTATTTTGAGGAAGTACTATATGTTGGATCAGATACAAATTAAACGTTTTGACCTGACCGAGTCAACGTCTAACCAAACACGATCAACACAAAATCAAACAATCATTCGGTTCTAGTCCTTTAGTGGATTGAACATCCCTATCACAAACACCCCTTAGTTCATTAAACATTTTATAATCCATTCAAATAAATTGTCTGCCGATATTAAAACTTATTTATTTCATTAACAGGTGTAACTGTTGTAACATATCCTAACAATAAAAAAATATCCCGTATTGTTCTGGAATTTTGTCAATCCCTTTTATATCGCAGAATTGGTAGTATCAAAGATTTTGACGATTCGCAATTTCAAAAGTTCAAAAGTTGAGACCTATTTCATTAATCGTCTGGGTGTTTTCCTATTTGGAAGCCCAGAGAAACGGGTCAAGTACACACGAAACCAGAAACCGTCCCACTTCGTCGCTTATTATTCTACGAACGGGAAAGGGAAAAGAAAGACAAGCAGAGGGAGGATCTATAAAATTAGTTTTGAGTAAGAGATTGTGAATATGTCTGGATACAGAGCTGAGGATGACTACGATTACCTTTTCAAGGTGGTTTTGATCGGCGACTCAGGTGTTGGAAAATCCAACTTACTTTCACGATTCACTAGGAATGAGTTTAGCCTCGAGTCCAAATCCACCATCGGTGTTGAGTTCGCTACAAGAAGCTTGAATGTTGATAGCAAGGTCATCAAAGCTCAGATTTGGGACACTGCTGGACAAGAAAGGTATAATTTCTCTCATTTTTACTCAGATCTTGCTTTTTCCCTTCACTTTTTGTTTTTGATTTTTGATTTCTGATTTAGGTTTATCTTTGAATTTCGGTTTTGGTCTATTAGGTTCTCTTGATGAAGTTAAACAAACAGTAGTAATAAGACTTGGTAGGATTTAATCGGTGTAGAGTAGATTGAAAGATGTGATGAACATCTTGAATTAAAAATCAGATCGAATATTCATTGTGATTCTGCTTAAAACTTTGATTATCTTTCATCCTTATTGTATAAGTAATAAGTAGTAAATTTAATAATTTTAAGATCACTAAAATTCTTATACACCAGAATATCTTATCTGACTGTAATTTGTTTCCATTTGTAGATTTAACATCTGTTGAACAATGTATTTTATTGTGATTTTTCATGATTCTTTTAAATAAGGGGATACAGATATTTGGATATTTGAATATATAAAAACAATACATATCAAAATCTGTTAAAATGTGCCAAATATGGATGCCAATGTTACATTTTGAGATAATGTACGTAGTGGGGACATGACTTAATCCCATAAGCTATATATGAGTGTTAATTTTCTACTTAATGCAGAAAGAATGGCTTAATAGAGAAGGTCATGGAAATGAGGCTTTCCCATTAGGTCCTAACCTTTTTTTTTAGAAATCCCCTAATTTATTTTCTCCTTCCAATATCAAGGTGTGCTGTCATTTTCTCAAATATACATCTATTTAAAAAAAAAACATTTCTCTAGATGACACTTTATCCAACACTTAAAGGGGGAAAAGCACCAAACTCCATTTCCATGGGTTCAATACTTCAATTGAAAATGGAGCAAAATCACTAGGTCACCCATTCCAATTTTCAAATATAAAAGAACGAATTATTTTGAATTTAGTTTTTTGATTGAATTGTAGGTTTTGGTCTTTGATTCAAATTTGAATGTATGCTTCAGTTACCCTGATCTTGCCAAATCTTGCCAGCATGTTGATATAATTATATATACTGAACAAGGCATTGACTACTCTTGGTAAGTAGTAAGAGTAGAGTTAGTTATTTTTAGTTGGATACTATGGTTGCTGATATTGATAGGCATAGAGCCCCTATGGTGGTATTCACCTTGTAGCCAATAGAAATAACTGGCCACATGATGCAATTTTTAGCATTTTTTGTTAAAGGTCTGTCTTTTTCATATAAAGTGTTTTGCATTCGCATGATTAAAACTCTTATAGATGCAAAAAAGAGGCCTTTGGTTGATGGGTCTTGTGGGATTTGATTGAAAATTATCCAATTTTACAAATGTGTCAGGAAATGGTTTTCGGTGGGTGGTATTCACAAAATCTTTAGACATACGGATTTCAACACTTACTTAAAAAGTTAATGGAATTCAGTTCTAAGCAATTCCTCCTTGTTAAAACCTACTCCAACACTCTTTTATTTTTTTAAAGGGGTAATTGTAATTTTTTACCCAAAAATAGTTTTAAAAAAGTAGGTGTAACGAAAATTCTAAGATAAGTATTCTTCAAACATAGTATTTCCATCCTAATATTGTAATTGTACTAAAGATAGTTTGTTGAAAAATATTCAGCAAAAATAAAATTCAAAATGTAAATATTTCTGCAAGTATTTAAATTTATCTTCAAACATGTATTTATAAAAAAAACCAATAAAGGGATATTTGAATATTAATATTTTTTTTTATTATCTAAAAGTAGTTCTAGTACAATTTCAAAAAAAAATCTTCTAAAAAAGATAGCATTCCATGATTGCGTCATGATATGTACTAAAGAACGGTTTAAAAAAATTTCTTGAAAAGTTTTAATAAAAAAGGCAATTTAGATATTTTGCAATTACTTATAGTTTATTTACAAGTATCTATTTATGATACAAAAAATAATTTACAGAGAAATCAATAGAGGTCGATTTAAATATATATATTTTTTTATTACATGAATGTAGTTTAAAAGAAAAATAGTTCTAACTAAACTCTTGTAAAAAAATGTTTTCAAAGAAATACCATTTTCATCCTAATATTTTTTAAAAGTAGTTTTGAAAACATCAGTGAATAATAAATGAAAGAAGGGTGATTTACATATTTTTGCAAGTATTTATAACTTATTTTCAAATATGTATTTTAAATACTAAGGGGCTCAGTTTTTATTATACAAAAATTCAGTAAATACCAATCTGAATATTCATAATTTATATTTTTTACATAGAAATAGTTTCAAAATAATAGATATAGTAATTTAAAAAAAAAATAGCATTTTGATCATAAATGTTTTTTTTTTAAGTTCTGTCAGCAAAATATTAATAAGAGTGATATATATATATATATATATATATATATATATATATATATATATATATATATATATATATATATATATATAGGGTTAGGTTCATGTGAAACGGCCTAATTTTGTGAGACCGTGAGATGCATTTTTTTTTTTTTATATATATTTTTTAATTTTTTAATTTTTATTTTTTTTAGTTAATTCAAGTTCCGAAAATAATATTTAAAAAAAGAATTTTTTGATTTTTCCATTTATTTTGCATTTTAAAATCATTTTTAGAATATGTGCAGTGTAATATTCTATTTAGAATATTTCACGTATTTTTCAAAAAAAATAGAATTTTTTTTTATTTATTTTTAGTTAATTCAAGTTCCGAAAATAATATTTAAAAAAAGAATTTTTAGATTTTTCCATTTCTTTTGCATTTTAAAATTATTTTTTAGAATATGTCAGTGTAATATTCTATTTAGAATATTTCACGTATTTTAAAAAAAAACAGGATTTTTTATTTATTTTTTATTTATTTATTATTTTATTTTTTTAGTTAATTCAAGTTCCGAAAATAATATTTAAAAAATGAATTTTTGGATTTTTCCATTTATTTTGCATTTTAAAATTATTTTTAGATTTGGTCTCACGGTCTCACAAAATTAGAATGGTCTCAAATGAACCTGAACCTATATATATATATATATATATATATATATATATATATATATATATATATATATATATATATATATATATATATATATATATATATACGTGTGTTTTTATTTATTTTAAAGCTGCCACTACCAAAGCAACAAAAATTTACAGAAAAAAAATAGAAAAGGGGGATTCTGACATTGACATGTTCCTTTGGCCTTTGCTGCCAATTAAATACTTGACAGAAACATAATTTTTAAGCGTTTTATAGATTCTAGTTATTATAAGTAGCGGTAGATTCTTAAACATTCTATTCAGAAAAAGTAAAATAGGTTTTTATGCTCAAGTGGTAGTAATTACTAATTATATTTATGGTTGCTACTTGTTTTTCTTATAGCAACTTCAATGCTGTTATGAATGTGAATGTGAAACTGAGAATATTAGGGTGTTACTAATTAGTCCGTGTGGTACAAGCATATGAGCACTTTTGTTATCTAAAAGTCTGTGTCGAAAGGGTAGGTAGGGCATCCTGAACTGTTGGTGGGATATACAAAAAAGAATTATTAAAAATTAATAATAAAGGAGTGTCTTTCAATCCACGATGTCATTTCGATGCTCAACTTTATATTTGACATGAGTTATTTATAAAACACATTCTGTTTCCCTCTTCAGTTTCTCTTGAACCTTTTTCTGTTCCATGAGCCTTAGGTTTGCAGGCTGCGTTTGTATATATATATATATATATATATACACACACACACACACACACACACACACACACACACACACACCACTTGATTCAATTGTTAAGTTATTGTGAATTTCGGGCAATAGCTCTTTCTCTCTAATATAGTCAGATTTATACAACAAGATATTAGCACATCCCGAAATGTATAACTTAAAATTTAAAGATCTACTTTGAAACTAATATAAAAAGACGGCTGAATATGAATAATATAATAACAATTACCAAGGATTTATATTATATCAACTATAATGTCGTGAAATATAATCTAAAAGCATTTAAATAATACAAATAAGATGGTTATAAATGTAATATTTCAACATATCATTCCATTTGATCAACAAGTTAGATTTATCTATTTCATAATTAAATATGGAAGATCAAAAAGAGAATAATTAAGAAAAAAATTGCCAATCTCATATCTTAAAAAATATTACATTTTATCTAATATCAATATACAATATATTAGTTTTATAACTATAAATATGCAATTTATATTAAAAATAATATGTAAAATAAAGATCATATATGTAATATTATTTATATTTATATTAAGTAATATAAAAAAACAGAATATAAAATAATATGTAAAATATAGGACCTTATATGTAAAATTTGTTAACAAATTTATGTTTAAAAATAATATGTAAAATTATTATCATATATTTAATATTATTTATATTAAATAATCTAAAGAATTAAAATATAAAATTATATGTAAAAGAAGTGACAGTGTATGTAAAAATTGCTAATATATGATTGATTATTTATATTTAAAAATATAAAGGATGAAAATCAAAGTTGTTATACAACACTAGGGACCATAAATGTAAAATCTATCATACCCTAATGTTTTTTCCGAATGATAGGTGTCAGATCAATCAAAGTGGTTTTGACTTTCAAAAATGGTTTTGATCCTACTTTTATGTGAATAACAACACCCAATGGGTGGTGGTGAATATTTCCATCTCTAGACTAGTTAAGAGCTGGTGGTTTATGTAGTTAATTTAGCATTATATATATATATATATATATATATATATATATATATATATATATATATATATATATATAAAGAAATCAAAGCAGGATGCTATAATAAACAAATAAAGAAAAGACAAAATTAAATAAATGATCCCCCGGTTTACAAAAAGTCACAACTTAAGTCCCTGTTAATTTTTTTTGACTAACATGATTCCTGTGGTTTCTAAAATTTGCATGGTTGGTCCATGAACCACATAAAATTGACTTCTTTGCCCTTTTTTTTTCTATTTGTTTCAACTTATTTTAATTAAAAAATAAAATAAAATAGATCTCCTTTCTTTCTTTTTGGTAGGATGAATCAAACCATCTCCTGTTTCTCTTTCTTCTCTTTATTCCTGAAATTGATGCTCCAACAGTTATCACCTTCTGATTTCTGATTTCTGGGGTGCAAAATCCTCTATGCCCTAGCTTTCCTCCACCCACCTCTCTCCTCTCCAGGATGTGGTCTGAGAAACAAATACATTGGCATTTCTTGCATTTACCATTTAACTTGTCGGAATAATTGGATATATTCTTCCAAGTATAATGTTGTAATAGGAAAAATGAAAGTAGGATACTATAATAAACAAATAGTTAGCTATTACTTGTATTTAACACTTCATTTTATAAGAGTAACTTGTCTAGTTGTCTGAATCTGTATAATGCAGGCATCACACAGTTACAAGTGTGCTATAATAATGAAGATTCTTGAAATGACAACTATGTAATACGAAAGGAAGAAATGAAAGTAGGATGCTGTAATAAACAAACAAATAAAAGTACATTGCTATATCTTGGGTTTACCTCTTGTATACTATTCATATGTCCCAATCCATGTAGAAATAATGCAGGTATCATGAAATTAAAAGTTCAGTTTGATAGGATACATCAGGAAGAAATGAAAGTAGGATGCTATGGTTATAATAAATGCAAAAAAAAGTACATTCTTGTATACTATTTGTAGGAGTGAATCCATATATAATAAATACAAAAAAAGATAAAAGATGAGGAAGGAATGAAAGTAGGATGCTATAATAAAGAAAGAAAGAAGTGACAGAAGTAGAGTGGTATGTGTTGCAGATATCGTGCAATTACAAGTGCGTACTACCGAGGAGCAGTAGGAGCACTGCTGGTGTACGATGTGACAAGATATCCGACGTTTGAGAACGTGGAGCGGTGGTTAAAGGAGTTGCGGGACCACACGGATCCAAATATCGTGGTGATGCTTATCGGGAACAAATCCGATCTTAGGCACCTGGTGGCTGTACAAACTGATGATGCCAAATCATTTGCGGAAAGGGAATCACTCTATTTCATGGAAACATCTGCTTTAGATGCTACCAATGTCGAGACTGCATTTGCAGAAGTGCTTACACAGATATATCGCATCGTTAGCAAGAAAGCCATGGATGCTGCTCAAGATACTACGCTTCCATCCAAAGGTGACAAAATTGATGTCGGGAAAGAGGTTTCGGCTATCAAGTCCGTTGGCTGTTGTTCCTCTTAGTTATTATTATTTTTTTTTGCCAGATTATATCTACTTACTTGATGGGCTGTAGTACAAAAGCTAATGTTTTTTTTTTTTTTTTTTTTTTTGGATCAAGCAACTGTTGTTTATGCTCTAGTTTTAGATGTTGCAGTTTCATTTGTTTTGCATGGATGATGTGAGTGATGAAACCCTTTTTCGTTTTCTATAAGTGCTTTTAAAAAATGAACTGTCCGAGATGTAAACCACAAAACAAATAATATTAATTTCATAAGATAAACCTAAAACTTATTTATTTAAAATACATGCACTGGAATCACGTCAATGGAATAAGATTGCCTCGGATGACAACCAAATCATTAATAATAGATATTTTTGGACTACACTGCAACAAATACAACATTTGGATAAAAAATGCAGATTCAGTGTTTAACGAGGGACGAAAAATGTTGTTTTATTCTTTATTTAGACTAAGCTACAGAAATGATCCATATGCTCTCTAAAAAAGATGATGTATTTTACAGATGACTGACTCGATGCATTGTTGGTCTCTATTTCGTTGATTTATTGTTCATCAGTTGAGCCTCGGTAGCTTCTGGCTTTACTTAGTTGCTAAGTAAAGCAAGGTGTGGTTTTGTTTTATAACAACCTTTACTTGGCTAACTAGAGCTTCTTTGTAGTCGGTTGTTTTTGCAAAACCAACTGCTGGTGATTCAAAGTCTTCAGTGGCTTGTATGAATTCTTGATACTCAGTAGTTGCCTTTTGATTGGCAATACTCATCCGGTGATGAGCCTCTTGACTTCGTGAAGAAGATTTTCAATCTTCGGGGTTTTATGATTGAATTCTTCTGTTAGTCTGAGGGATTCTTTCTCAACTAATTGATTGCTCAGCTATTTCTTGAACAAGGCTCATGACTTCTCTTTTTGTGAGTGGTTTAGATTGATGGATCTCAGTTGAGATTTGTTGAAAACTTTTTATGGTTTCACTCTGAGTTTTTCTTAATAACTTCTCATAGGATTCAAGCTCCTTTTGACAACTTTGGACTTTTGACTCGAGATCTTTTTATTTTTCAGAAATACTTTTAAAGTTCTTAAGTGCTACTTTAGAAAAGAGATTTAAACGATTATAAATACAAGCTAAATTATTGGCTAAATCGGTAGTTGTAGGTTTAGGACTATTTTCTTTAAAAATGATATACTCAGGATCCATAGTTTGTAAATTATCGTACCAATTTTGTATCTCTTGCTCAAAGCGATCGGACATAACATAAAAACTTCAAAGGTTTATATTTACAAATTTGTTTTAAGACTCACTAAACGGTTAACTTCAAACACTTACCGACTCTTTCGGTTTTAATAGAAGCAATTGTGCTGTCTTTTATCTAAAAACAAGGGTTTTTATGAAGTTTTTAACAAAAATATTACCGTAGAAATACAAGAAATTGATAAAATAATACATTTATTGTTTTTCCTCAATATACCTAAGGGTTTAGCCTTCCATAGAGCTAAGAACGTTTTGATTCAAAGCTCTGACACCAAGATAAAAATTACGTTGCCAGAAATTTTTATAGATAAAAAAAAAATTACGTTGCCAGCGCTAAGAATTTTTATATTATACTTAAAGCTCAAAAACTAAAACTTTAAAAGTACAAGTATTACTTAAAACACACATCTTTATTAAAATACCGCGGAAGCTTTGATACAATGGTAGTGGTGGTGATTGTAGGTGAATGGATTCGATGATCTCAAACATAGAACTTATGCCCTTATATAGATGGGCTTACAAACTATTGGACAAGAATAAAAGCGTAAGCGATGACGTTTAAACAAGGACCATTATTTAATTTAAGCAATGACGTTTAAACAAGGGCCATTATTTAATTTATTACATGTGACCGACAATCTTGATAATTATAAATATACTTTTAACAAGTGGTGGGAACTTCTTGATGACTTCTGAACATCCAAACAACTCAACTTTTGAAAACACGTGATATGTGAAATAATTTCACACACGGGCCCTTCTAACCTTTGGATAAATGTATGGATCCATGGGACGATTCAATTTTATCGTTTTTAGACAATGTTCAAGACACTACCCAAAAAGAAAACAAATGCCGCTACAACAACAAAGGATTTCTAGAAGATAGTGACAACGATTCATTTTTCATTGTGGACCCCGGGTGAGATGATTATTGTCTAAAAACGATAAAATTGAATCGTCCCATGGATCCATACCTTTATCCAAAGGCTAGAAGGGCCGTATGTGAAATCATTTCATATATCACGAGTTTTCAAAAATTGAGTTGTTTGGATGTACAGAAGTCATCAAGAAGTCCCCACCACTTGTTAAAAGTATCTTTATAATTATCAAGATTGTCGACCACATGTAACAAATTAAATAATGACCCTTATTTAAACGTCATCGCTTACGTTTTTATTCTTGTCCAATAGTTTGAAAGCCCATTTATATAAGGGCTTAAGTTCTAAGTTTGAGATCATCGAATCCATTCACCTACAATCACCACCACTATCATTGTATCAAAGCTTCTGCAGTATTTTAATAAAGAGGTGTGTTCTAAGTAATACTTGTACTTTTAAAGTTTTAGTTTTTGAGCTTTAAGTGTAATATAAAAAAACCTGGCGCTGGCAACATAATTTTTTTTATCTATAAAAATTCCTGGGAACGTAATTTTTATCTTGGTATCAGAGCTTTAAATCAAAACGTTCTTAGCTCTATGGAAGGCTAAACCCCTAAGGTATATTCAGGAAAAACAGTAAAGGTATTATTTTATCAATTTCTTGTATTTCTATTGTTTTTCCTGAATATACCTTAGGGGTTTAGCCTTCCATAGAGCTAAGAACGTTTTGATTCAAAGCTCTGATACCAAGATAAAAATTACGTTGACAGGAATTTTTATAGATAAAAAAAAATTACGTTGCATGCGCCATAAATTTTTATATTATACTCAAAGCTCAAAAACTAAAACTACGTTGCCAGTAATTTTTATAGATAAAAAAATTACGCTGCCAGCGCCAAGAATTTTTATATTATACTTAAAGCTCAAAAACTAAAACTTTAAAAGTACAAGTATTACTTAGAACACACATCTTTGTTAAAATACTGCGGAAGCTTTGATACAATGGTAGTGGTGGTGATTGTAGGTGAATGGATTCGATGATCTCAAACTTAGAACTTATGCCCTTATATAGATGGGCTTACAAACTATTGGACAAGAGTAAAAACGTAAGCGATGACGTTTAAACAAGGGCCATTATTTAGTTTGTTACATGTGGCCAACAATCTTGATAATTATAAAGATACTTTTAACTAGTGGTGGGGACTTCTTGATGACTTCTGAACGTCCAAACAACTCAACTTTTTAAAACCCGTGATATGTGAAATAATTTCACATATGGGCCCTTCTAGCCTTTGGATAAAGGTATGGATCAATGGGAAGATTCAATTTTATCATTTTTAGACAATAATCATCCCACCCGGGGTCCACAATGAAAATTGAATCGTCATCACTGTTGTCACTATCTTCTAGAAATCCTTTGCTGTTGTAGCGGCATTTGTTTTGTTTTTGGGTAGTGTCTTGGAATTCTATGGGCTTAGATATTATTGCGGCCCAATCTTTGTGCGAGGGCTTCCATTTCGATGAGAATTTTTCGGGTTTCTTTGTTTTCGATTCGAACATCTTTCTTTTGGTTAGAACAATGGTCGTCTCTTGTTGATTTTCCAAAACAGACTTGGGCTTTGCACTGTATGATTGCTTGTAGATTTCTCATTGCTTTGATTGCTTCTTTTGCTGCTGATAATTCGATATCTTGGGCGACTAATCTCCATGCATCAAATTTATCCATTCTGATCTGGGTTTGATTGGCTCTAAGCTGGTATTGTCTGTACAATGCTCTTGGTTCTTCCAGTGTGAAGATTGTTTTAGTAAAGATTCTTGGGAGTGGTTGAAAGTCTTCATGATTTCTTCGCAAGTAATATTCATATTCTTCTGAGAGGCAGAAGGGGATTGTAGAACTTCCTCCACTGAGTAAAGGGTTGCTGTTGCTAGCCGTTTCATTTCTCCTGTGCATTCTGCAAAACAAAGGTTAACAAGTCTTGAGAGAGAATCAACTAGTGTATTATGTTTCCCTTCTATATGCTCTATGTTAATCTTGATGCCTGTTCCTTTGACTGCATCTGCAAACTTTATCCACCTAACCCTTGAGGATTTGTTGCTATTAGCTTTGTTGTAAAAGCTAATCTGTCCTTAAAGTGATTTCTTGTTTATCAAGGTAGTAGGTTTTTAGTTTCTCCAGAGTGTTGATGCAGGCATTGATTTCAGCATCAATTGTGGATTGGGTTGTTGAGAACTTGCCACTTGCATATGCACAAATCTTCTCTGAGCTTCTTGGTTCTTCCTTTTTGTTCTTCCATTTGACTATACCTCCCCATCCTTCCATGCATCCCTCTGTTTCTACGATGATATAAGCATATTCAGCTGGTATCTCAAGGTCTGGGAGATTCTGAACTTGCATCTTGATCCTTTTGATTAACTCATAATCAGAGGGCTTCAATCTTTTGTCTCCATGAGCATTTGTCTTTTCGTATAGTGGCCTTAATAGTATCCCAAGTTTTGGGAAATGACTATGAGCATAGTTAAGGATTCATAAGAATGACCTCAACCCTTTCTTTGTCTTTAATTCTACTTCATTGAAGTTCACAATCTTCTTTATAATGTGCGGTTGCAATCTTATGGTTCTTTCTCCTACGATTACTATATACACTGGTGTCATCAAGGTCTGCTGAGACAATGTCCCAGTTGTCATCAAGATCCAATTCTTGATAGATAGCTGATCTTGCAATGTTTCCTTGCTTGCTTTTGCAATCTTTTGCGAAATTCCCTTCCTTTCCACAAATAAAGCATTTGCATTTTTTGACTCGTCCTCTGTCATCTTTGTAATTTCTTTTGAATGGCTTTACATGAGAACCATGTGGCTTTCCTTTGTAAGTTTTTGACTTCCTCATTCCGTACTTTTTCCTATTGTTTTTATAATAACCAGGAACTGGTATGGCTGAACAAAGAGATAAACCTCTAAGCTCTTTGGCAAG